ACTGAGAGTGTGATAATCTTACTAATTGTATTTTTAGCAATTTGGTTAGTTTACAGCATTTTAAAAGGAGAAATACAGAAGAAAACGTCCTGGAACCAGAAAATAATAAAGGCACTGATGCGAGATCTACACCCACCATCTTCTGGTTCTCCGTGACAACATCCAGGACAGCGTTTACATCAATCAAGAATTCGAAGAACACCAAGTACCAACTCAGAAACAAAGGACTGTATCGAGTGAAAACATTTGCACTTATAGTGAAGTGAAGTGAAAATGCTTTCAAAGTGGGGAATGATAGTAAAAGGTTCTAAAATCTTAGAAAGTTCAGAGACTTAGAAAGAAAGTTAGGTTTGGAAAGCCCTGGGGAAAGTAGGCCCTGAGAAATGTTAGGCCCTGTGCTTGCTGAAGATCAGGTCAAACTGCACCTGTGTAATCAGTAGATGATCATGATACAATTGTTAGATGTGATTAGATATAATTATTGTTTAAAGACCATGAGGAACAATGTTAGGGGGCTAGGGAGGATCACGAGAAATCCATGCTTGGGTAAAAACAACACTTACAATAGAACAATGTAAGTTTAATAATTAATATGCAAGTTGCATAACGATAGAGTATAAAAACATGTTCAACTCAAAACCAAATCGGGTCAGATTTGGGTATGTGTGCCCCTGACACCCAGAGCTCTTAAATAAAGCACCTTCATATAATCATTCTGTGATTATGTGTGTTCCTGAATGCTAACATATCCACTTGTGAAAATGGAACACCACAAAAGCAAGTGATAAATGTTTTTAGCATCCGGTGGAGACCACTGGGAAAACTCAAAGTGAGCTGAGTGTCCACTAATGAAAGCCACGTGGTTCTCATTGGAGCTGGGGAGGAACAGCCAGAGATACAGAATTCACTGCTGACCTTTAGTGTCCTCTGGCAGCTTAGCCCCTCAGAGTAAAAAGAGCTCTCAGATGGGAGCAGTCTCCATTTGAAGGCAATGCCGTTTCACAGTATGAAACATTCATAAGGCTTCTGGTGTCAAAATGATAAATACAAGCCAAAGACAAAAGCTCTGGAAGATCATTTAATGCGTGGCAGATTAATCTCTGCTAACCATACAACTGCCTGACACCACAAAAAGGAAAGCTGTGGCTCTGATATCTTTAAAATCCTTGCCACATTTAGAAAAACTGTCAAGATGGCAGCTTTGCATAACATTTTTGTTTGACCTTCCCTAGCAATGAACAGAAAAAAAGAACTTTTGTATTGCCCTGGTTTAATAATTAGATTATTTGTTGAACAGTTAGATTGGAGTTTTGGTGGCTGGTGTGCATTCAGAAGAGCCAGGTTCTGTAACCTCCAGCAACATTTTCAGAGGAGCTCCAGAATATTTCAACATCATTGGGCTGTAGTACTGTAAATTCAAAGCTAAAACCATTAAGTAAAACTATACTGACCTCTACACTACATCATTTCATTCTGGCAATTTATTATTGGCTCTAAGACCAATAATCCAGCAAGCTCTATCTTTAACTGGGACATTGTGCTTCATCATTATAAATATTTTAAACACTGCAGTAACCTGTGTAAGTTCATACAGTTTTGTTACTGAAAGAAACATAGATAAGCACACTGAAGTTATGTCTTCAACAAGGCTTGAAAGAAATATTTCCAGAATAAGGTTGACAAGTAACTTACCTAACAACTCTGGTTCTCATGGTAGTATTAGCTGGCCATTTGTTTTGAACAGACTTCTGTAAGCACCCATAAATATACCTCAACGTCCTGCAGAAACAGTAGCTAATTACTCATTGCATTAAACTTAAAGAATAAAAAAAGCTGGTCAGAAAGCATGCAGACCAACCGCCTACTTGATGCAAAATAATTAATATAAAAATATTAATAATTTAGACAAATCTTAAATTTATACATTAACTCTCAGTTAAAGTTAGCAAATTTATAAAAATTCTATTTTACAAGTTTGTTTTAAAAAGTAAATTTATACATGACAAGGAAAATGCATTCTGTGCAATTCTATGATCATTCATATGAGCATTAAATGTTTGCAATTGTTTCCTGAAGTATTCCCTTTTTGAAAAAAGACCTTTTTGACAGTTGATTTATCTTTCAATTTTTCTCTTAACTAAACAAAATCTATTCTTTCCATACATGACACATGGTGAAAAAAGCTAAAAAAGTTAAGACACAGCAATAGTCCTCTCCCATTTAAAAAACAAAAGGACATTTGTGGTGTATTTCAGAAAATTCTGATCACTGCTTCATACACTGAACTGCAACTTTCTGCAAAATGCTAATCTTGCCAGCATGAACACAAAAGAAAATTCCATGCCACTGCAATGAATCAAATTAAGAGTTTCATATACTTTAAAAGCTAATGACACTATGAAAGGAAACTCTGCACTATCCACTTTTTATTTTATGCTTCAAATCTGAGCTATGAAAACAAGTTACTTTATCAATTGAAAGAAGTGGGGAAAAAAACAGGCTCTGCATTTCCCTAGTAGACAAAAACAGGCATAGCATGGTATCACTATTACTACCTACCTGTATTTTTAATATGCTGTTAATAATTCCATCTATTTCTCAAAGGAGAAAGACTGACAAATACATGTCTGCTAACTACAGCTGTCTTCTACCTTTTTGTAAAAATATGAGATTGATTATTTTATTACTATTTTGTCCCTGATCTCTTGCATCTAGCAGCTCCTCCTTTAAATAAAACCAAATGTGC